ATCGATAAGGGGGATTGATAAAGGGGGATTGATAAGGGGGATCGATAAGGGGGATTGATAAGGGGGATCGATAAGGGGGATTGATAAAGGGGGATTGATAAGGGGGATTGATAAAGGGGGATTGATAAGGGGGATCGATAAGGGAGATTGATAAGGGGGATTGATAAAGGGTAATTGATAAATGGGGATTGATAAAGGGTTAATGAGCGGAATCGATAAGGGGGATCGATAAGGGGGATCGATAAGGGGGATTGATAAGGGGGATTGATAAAGGGTAATTGATAAATGGGGATTGATAAAGGGGATTGATAAAGGGTTAATGAGGGGAATCGATAAGGGGGATCAATAAGGAGGATCGATAAGGGGGATCAATAAGGGGGATCGATAAGGGGGATTGATAAACGGTAATTGATAAATGGGGATTGATAAGGAGGCTGATAAAGGGTTGATAACAGGGATTGATAAGGGGAATTCATAAAGGGTAATTGATAAATGGGGATTGATAAGGGGGATTGATAAAGGGTAAGTAATAAGGGGGTTGATAAGTGGGAGATAAGGGGGTTGATAAGTGGAATTCATAAAGGGCAATTGATAAATGGGATTGATAAAGGGGATGATAAGTGGGTGATGTCGGTTAATAATGGGAATTGATAATGGGGATTGATAAGGGGGTTGACAAGGGGATTGATGAGGGGGGATTGATAAGCGGTAATTGATAAGGGGGTTGATAAGGAGGTTGATAATGGGGTTGATAAAGGGATTGATAAGGGTGAATTTATAAGGGGCATTGATAAGGGGGAATTGATAAGTTGCCTCTGTGCATCACCCCACAAGCTCAGAGGGGTGGTGCTGGGGTGGGGCTCACCTGGTGACTTGGGTGGGTGCTCACCGGGTGCCATGGGGTTCGTGCCCACGTGGCTTTATTGGAGCAATGCTCACCTGGCACCAGTGGGGTGGGTGCTCACCTGGTGCCCATGGGGTTGGTGCCCACCTGATGCCGATGGGGCAGGTCCTCACCTGGTGCCCATGGGGCCGGCATCCCCCTGACATCCATGACGTGCATGCCCACCTCGTTCCCGAGGGCTTGGTGCCCACCTGCACAGAATGCCACCCTTGGGGAGCCCTGTGAGCCCTGGCTGCCCCTCTCAGCGCCCGCTCCCCGTGTCCCCCAGGCCGCAGGGCAGCCAGGTGCCCCCCAGCTCCTCGGACGTGCTGTACCCGCGGCCGGTGGGCGTGCAGCTGCCCCCGCCCCTGCTGGAGCATTACCTGCCCCGCGGCGCCGACCCCGCCATGCCCGTCATCGTCAACACGCGCAGCCTCAAGGACGGGGACGCCGGGGACGACGGGCACTCGGTGCCCGAGGGGGACGTGTACCGCTACAGCGAGGACGAGGACTCGGAGGGCGAGGACAAGAGTGACGGCGAGCTGGTGGTGCTGACGGACTGAGGGGGCGCGGGGGGACAGCGGAGGGGGTGGCAGGGCTGGCTGCCACCGCCGGGAGGGCACGGCGTGTCCGGGCGGGGTGGCACTCTGCCGCAGGAGAGCCGCCCGCCTGCAGAGGGGTCCCGCGAGGGTGGGCACCCGGGATTTTGGGTGGTGAGGACTGGTTTGGCCTTGCTGTGGTGGCACGTGGAGCTGAGGCCAGTGAGCCGGGAGGGTTGGTGGCACTGTGGTGGCTGTGCTGTCACCCCTGAGGGGACCTGAGGCTCTCGGGCTGCAGGGAACCTCCAGAGCATCTCCAGCACCTGTGGGTCCTGCAGAGCCTCACCTGTGGGTCCTGCTGAGCACGGAGTGGGGACACGGGATGGGGACACAGGATGGGGACACGGAATGGGGCACGGGATAGGGACATGGAGCAGGGACATGGAGTGGGGGCACGAGATGGGGACATGGAGCAGGGATATGGAGTGGGGACATGGGATGGGGACACAGAGTGGGGACACAGGATGGGGACACGGAGTAGGGACACGGGGTGGGGACACGGGACGCGGACATGGAGTGGGGCACAGGATAGGGACATGGGGCAGGGACAGAGTGGGGACATGGAGCGGGGACACGGGATGGGGACACAGACTGGGGACATGGAGCGGGGACACGGGATGGGGACACAGGATGGGGACATGGAGCAGGGACACGGGATGGGGACACAGACTGGGGACACGGGACAGGGATGCTCTTGTCCCTCCTCTCTCCTGGTGTGACCTCCCCGCCGTGCTTCCCGCTCGCTCTTTGGCACCTGCCAGCGAATTCCCACCAAGCCAATTTTAGCTCCAGCCCGGGCCCGGCTCCGGCCAAGGGCTCCTCGGTTCCTTTGTGCTGCCGGCAGCTCTGGCCCAATTTGGGATAAAGCGGGGGCGGTTCCTGCCCTGCCAGCCCCCGCCCGGGGGACGTGCCCGGCTGTCCCCGGGCACCTGTCCCTGAGCCCGGGCTGCACCTGAGCCCCGCAGGGTGATGGGGAGAGGAAGCGGCTTCAGGGGAAAAGGGAATTTGTGGAAAAATGGCCTTGGGGTGGTCAGAGCCTGTCCCAGCCGCGGCGGTGTGGTGTGGCTGGGCATGGCGGCTGTCCAGGTGACAGGTCACGGTGTCCAGGTGACAGGTCAAGGTGTCCAGGTGAGAGCTGAGGGTGTCCAGGTGTGTGGCAGTGCCCAGGTGTGTGCAGAGTCCAGGTGTGTTTGTGCCATGTCCAGGGAGTGTGTGTGCCATGCCCAGGTGTGTGGCAGTGCTCAGCTGTGTGTGCTCCATGCCCAGGTGTGTGTGCCATGCCCAGGTGTGTGCCTTGCCCAGGTGTGTGCCGTGTCCCTGTGCCCAGGTGTGCTGTGCCCAGGTGTGTGTGCAGTGCCCAGGTGTGTGCCATGCCCAGGTGTGCCATGCCCAGGTGTGTGCCATGCCCAGGTGTGCTCCATGCCCAGGTGTGCCGTGCCCAGGTGTGCTCCATGCCCAGGTGTGTGTGCCGTGCCCAGGTATGCCATGCCCAGGTGTGTGTGTGCTCCATGCCCAGGTGTGTGTGTGTGCCATGCCCAGGTGTGTGCCATGCCCAGGTGTGTGCCATGCCCAGGTGTGTGCCATGTCCCCGTGCCCAGGTGTGCCGTGCCCAGGTGTGTCTGCCATGCCCAGGTGTGTGTGCTGTGCCCGGGTGTGCCGTTCCCAGGTGTGCTCCATGCCCAGGCGTGTGTGTGTGCCATGCCCAGGTGTGTGCTCCATGCCCAGGTGTGCCGTGTCCCCATGCCCAGGTGTGTGCCCCATGCCCAGGTGTGTGTGCTGTGCCCGGGTGTGCCGTGCCCAGGTGTGCCGTGCCCAGGTGTGCCATGCCCAGGTGTGTGCTCCATGCCCAGGTGTGCCGTGTCCCCATGCCCAGGTGTGTGCCCCATGCCCAGGTGTGTGTGCCGTGCCCAGGTGTGCCATGCCCAGGTGTGTGTCCCCGTGCCCAGCCGCTCTCCCGGGCCCTGTCCCCGCTGTCGCTCCGTGCGCGGGGCTCCGGCACCTCCCTGCGGCAGAGCCGGGAACGGCCCCGGGCCGGGACAGCGCGGGGACAGCGCTGGGATTGTCACCGTGCTGGGGACACCGAGGGGATTGTCACCGTGCTGGGGACACCGCGGGGACAGGGACACCATGGGGATTGTCACCATGCTGGGGACACCGCAGGGATGGGGACAGCATGGGGACAGCGCGGGGATTGTCACCGTGCTGGGGACACTGCAGGGATGAGGACAGCGTGGGGACACCGCGGGGACTGTCACCGTGCTGGGGACACCGCAGGGACGGGGACAGCATGGGAACAGCGCGGGGATTGTCACTGTGCTGGGGACACCGAGGGGATTGTCACCGTGCTGGGGACACTGCGGGGACAGGGACAGTGCTGGGGACACGGTGGGGACAGCGACAGTGCTGGGGACACCATGGGGACTGTCACCGTGCTGGGGACACTGCGGGGACAGGGACAGCGCTGGGGACACTGCGGGGACAGGGACAGTGCTGGGGACACGGTGGGGGCTGCAGCCACCCGGGCTCAGGGCTGCACAAAGAGGGCACCAGCCTCTGTCCCCTTGTCCCTCTGTCCCCTTTTCTCTGTCCCCTTGTCCCCAAGCCGGGCTGGGGATCTGAATCTCAGCAGCAGCAGCAGCACCCCAGTGCTGGGGACACTGCTGTGGGGACATCCTTTATCCCAAGGGACATCCCTTTTATCCTGGGGGACATCCCTTATCCCAGGGACATCCCTTATCCCAAGGGACATCCCTTTTATCCTGGGGGACATCCCTTATCCCGGGGACATCCCTTATCCCGGGGACATCCCTTATCCCAGGGACATCCCACCAGCCCCTCCCTGCTCCCCTGCCTCTGTCAGGGCTTCGTTTGTTCCCAAATCCCTGCGCCGGCCTGGGGTCCCTGGGGTAGGACAGGGGTCCCTGTGAGGGACAGGGGGTCCCACAGAAGGATGGGGGTACCTGGGAAGGACAGGGGTCCCCAGGGATGGAAAGGGACCCCTGGGGAAGGTCAGGGGATCCCTGGGGTAGGGACAGAGATGGAAAATGGTCCCAGGGTAAGACAGGGGTCTCTGGGGAAGGTCAGGGGGTCCCTGGAGAGGACAGGGATCCCCAGGGATGGAAAAAGGTTCCTGGAGAGGACAGGGGGTGGCAGGGAAGGACAAGGGGTCCCAGGGTAGGACACGGGTCCCTGGGGAAGGTCAGGGGGTCCCCAGGAAGGACAGGGCATCCCAGGGATGGAAAGGGGTCCCCGGGAAGGACAGAGATCCCTGGGGAGGGGTCCCAGCTCCAGGGCTGGGCCAGGCTGTGCTGCAGAGGGACTGGAAGCAGAGGTGTCCCCTCCCCACAGCTTCTTGTCTCTCTTCCATTTATTTTCCTATTCTTTGGGGTTTTTTTTTGGTTGTTGTTCTGTTTTTTAAAGATTGTAAATATAGATAGAGCTTTATTTTGTTAATAAGACCACGAGTAACTTAACCTGTATATGTCACATCCCTGTTTACAGTCGTTCCTCCCCCCGGCCCTTGGCACAATAAAAGTGACTTTTTGGAGCAGAGAGCGGGGCCTGGGCTCCACCAGGGTCATGTCCACGGGGACATCTCGGGGTACAGAAGGGACAGGAGCACCCCCAGAGCCTGGGGGTGCTGCCCCTGCTCCGGCACTGGCCCCCCCACCAGATCCACCAGCCCCAAATTCCCAAATTCCAGCTACCAGCAGCTTTTATTTCCCACCAAAACAACCACGGGCGTGCCAGCAGCCGTGGTTCTGCTGGGGGGAGGTCCCTGTGCCCAGAGAGGGGACAGTCACCGTGTCCCCACAGGGAGGGTGGCACATGGCTCTGGTGAAGGTCCCTGTGCCCGGAGAGGGGACAGTCACTGTGTCCCCACAGCCTGGGGTGGCACAGGGCTGTGGGGGACATCCTTGTGCCCAGAGAAGGGACAGTCACTGTGTCCCCACAGCCTGGGACAGGGCACGGGGCTCTGGGGGACATCCTGGAGCCCAGAGAAGGGACAGTCACCATTTCCCCACAGCCCAGGGTGGCACAGGAGGTCCCTGAGCCCGGGGAAGGGATAGTCACTGTGTCCTCACAGAATTGGGGGTGACACGGGGCTCTGGGGGACATCCCTGAGCCCAGAGAAGGGACAGTCACCGTGTCCCCACAGCCCAGGGGGATAGCACAAGAGGTCCCTGTGCCCAGTCCTGAAGCGGGGCAGCTCCGTGCCACCTCCTGCCAGGTGTGGGGACACGGTGCAGGGAGGAGGACAGCAGTGGGGACAGGCAGGACAGAGGACAGGGGTGGGGACAGGCAGGACAGCCCCTGGATGTCCCCTGGGGGCAGAGCTGGGGAGCCACCAGGCCACGGGGACAGTGGGGCCAGGCAGGGGCAGCTGTGGGGACACGCAGAGCACGGGGGGACGGCCCCCCGAGCCCACCAGCAGCGCCCCGCTGGTGCCAGTGGCTCAGGGCTGGCCCTGAGCTCTGCCCACAGCTGCCACCCACCAGGGACAGCGGTCCCGTGCCCGGGGCCGGCAGGGACAGCGCTGCTTTGGGGTGGCACCCAGCAGGGCAGGAGGGGACAGCCAAGGTGAGCGGGCAGAGCTCTGGGGGCTCCTGAGTGGCCAGGGTGACGCCGTGTCCCCCTCGGGGACAGCGCAGGGGGAGCGGGCGGTGCCGGTTCCGGCAGCAGCAGCGGTGCCAGCGCGGCACGGACCTGCCGGGCACCGGGTCGGCCTTAAGGCGGTGGTGAGGCTCCCTGGCGTGGGCTGGGGCCTCGCCGGGGCTCTGGTCCTCTCCAGCATCTCATGGTCCAGTCTTGGGGGTGGCCAGGCTCTCCTGGCAGCAGTGGTGGCCGGGGCAGAGCTCCTCTTGTCCCCCCTGGCACCGGCAGGACCGGGCAAGGGGCCAGGGGGGCGCGAGGGCACGGCCAGGACAGGAGAGCTCGGGGTGGTCCCTACTTGGGGAGCTGCAGGGCCGTGACCACCGGCTTCATCTTGAAGTATTGTTTAAACCTTAACTTTGCATATCTGCAAAGAGAGAGAGACTGAGAGAGAGAAGGGACGGCTCTGAGCCGCTCCTGTGCCCAGGGACCATCAGGATCCTCCCCAGGAACCACCGGGATCCTCCCAGGGACTGCTGGAATCCTCTCTAGGGATCACTGGGATCCTCCCAGGGACTGCTGGGATCTTCCCTGGGATCCTCCCCAGGGACCACTGGGATCCTCCCAGGGACTGCTGGGATCTTCCCTGGGATCCTCCCCAGGGACCACTGGGATCCTCCCAGGGACTACTGGGATCCTCCCCAGGGACCACCAGGATCCTCCCAGGGACTACTGGGATCCTCCCCAGGGACCACCAGGATCCTCCCAGGGACTGCTGGGATCCTCCCCAGGGACCACCGGGATCTTCCCCTGGATTCTCCCCAGGAATCCACCCCTGGATCTTCCCCCAGATCCTCCCCAAGATCCTCCCTGGGATCCTCCCCAGATCCTCCCCCGGATCCTCCCCGGGATCCTCCCCAGGGACCACTGGAATCTTCCCCTGAATCCTCCCCAGGATCCTCCCTGGGATCCTCCCCATGATCCTCCCCCAGATCCTCCCTCCGCGCTCATTTCCCGCTGGAGCAGCCCGTGTGGACTCACCGTAAGAAATTAAAGTCTATGGTGGAATATTTATCCTGGATCAGGCCCCAGCAGGCCCAGAGGAAATGGGAGGCCTGCGAGGGGCAGAAGGAGGGTCAGGGAACAGAAACCCCCGTGCCCCCATCCCAGGGCTGTGACAAGGACAGGACACGCACGGCGGGATTTTTGTGCCCTCCAGAGCGATGGCAGCAGGGGGGATGCCCACCAGGGCACCCCCTGCATCCCCACAGCCACCCCAGGCTGCGGGGACATGGTGACTGTCCCTTCTCTGGGCACAGGGACCTTCCCCAGTGCCACCCCCTGTGCTGCCAGCTCCAGCCGGGAGAACAGAGAATCCTTCACCCGAAATTTCCAGAAGATCGGCTGGGGCCAACCCTGGCAGCCAGCAGAGAGGATTTCCTCACTGCAGCCATGCCTGACCCCTCGGAAGGGCTGCCCAAGGCCACCCTGCCGGGCACAGCTGTCCCCAGCACACCCCTGTGACCTTGCCCGGGGCTCTGAGGCGCTGCCAGGCCCGTGGCACAGCCTGTCCCCGATGTCACCGAGCCCCCAGGCTGGCACCTGCAGCTGGCCAGGTCAGCTGGGAGCCCGAGAGCAGAGGAAAACTCCCATTCCCTGGGTTGCGTTTCCAGCCCTGCAGCGAGGCCGGCTCCTTCCTCCTCCTCCTCCACTCACCAAGGAGAACTTGTTCACTTGCACGTAGAGCATCTCCAGCTCCTCCGGGGACACCTGGCTGTCCCCTGGGTGGCCCTGGGTGAGCTCCTTGTAGGCCTGCAGGTAGGAGTGCAGCCACTGCAGCTGCGTCTCCTTGCTGGGGTAGAGGCCATAATCCACCTCCTTCACACCTGGGGGACACGGGGGGACACGGAGGGGACAGGGAGGGGACAGAGAGGCGTTGGGTTCTCCACGGCAAAGCGAGGAGAGCACAACCCCAGCCGGGCACAAACCCAGGATCAGCTGCTGGCCCCCAGCCAGCCTCGGGGTGAGGAGCCAGAGGTGGCACCCCAGGGGTGCCCAAGAGCAGCAGAGACCCCGCTCGGACCGTGGGCAGCCCCAAATCCTGCTGTGGGATTTGGGGTGCGGCTCCTTCCCCCATCCCCAGGGATGGGGAGACCCCATTTCCCATCATGGGATTGGGGATTCAGCTCCCTCCTCCATCCTCAGGGATCGCGAGACCCCAGGGCAGCCCCATTTTCCACCCTGGGACTGGGGATAAAACTCCCTCCTCTGCCCCCAGTAACAGGGACACCCCATTTCCCAGTATGGGACTGGGAATAGAACTCCCTTTTCCATCCCAGTAATATGAACGCCCCATTTCCCAGTATGGGACTGGGGACAACTCCCACCTCCATCCCAGTAATGGGGACACCCCATTTCCCAGTCTGGCACTGGGGACAACTCCCTTTTCCATCCCAGTAATAGGGACACCCCATTTCCCAGTATGAAACTGGGAATAACTCCCTCCTCCATCCCAGTAATAGTGAAACCCAATTATCCTGTATGGGATTGGGAATAGAACTCCCTCCTCCATCCCAGTAACAGGAACACCACGTTTCCCATTTTAGGACTGGGAACAAAACTCCCTTTTCCATCCCAGTAACAGAGACACCCCATTTCCCAGTATGGCACTGGGAATAACTCCCTCCTTCATCCCAGTAACAGGGAAACCCCATTTCCCGTTTGGGACTGGGAATAAAACTTCCTCTTCCATCCCAGTAACAGGAACACCCCATTTTCCATTTCGGGACTGGGGATACAACTCCCTCTTCCATCCCAGTAACAGGGACACCCCATTTCCCGTTTTAGGACTGGGAACAAAACTCCCTTTTCCATCCCAGTAATATGGCCACCCCATTTCCCAGTCTGGCACTGGGGGCACAGGGACAGGGACACCCCAGGCAGGACTGGGGGGACCTTTGGGGACAATCCCCACCTGCGAACTCGTTGAAGTGGTTCCCGATGTCGAAGGCCTGGTAGTTGTACCCCGTGTACTCGTAGTCGATGAAGCGCACGCGCTCTGCGGGGACAAACCCGGCGGCTCTCAGGGCTGGGCACAGAGGTGACACCCCGCCCGGGCCGGGGGTGGCACAGGGACACCCCCGGGCGCACAGACAGACCTCGCGTGCTGTCGTAGATGATGTTCTTGCACAGGAGGTCGTTGTGGCACAGCACCACGGGGGAGCCCAGCTGCGGCAGCGTCTCCTCCATCCAGGCCAGCTCCTGCTCCAGCGCCGCGGGGCTGGGCACGTCCTGCGGGAGGCTGGCCGAGGGGACAAAAGGGACAGGGTGGCATCGCTGCTGCTCCCAGGCAGCCTCCCTGGGGCTTGGGGCTGGCGTTTCCCCGGCTCCTAGTGCTGCCTTTGGGCTTGGGGGAAGAATTTTCCCAATTTCCAGTGTTTCTCTTGGTGCTCAGGGGCAGAATTTCCCCAGTTATCAGAATTTCTGGGGCCACAGGAGCACAGTCGTTGAGCCCTGATTTCCAGCATTTCCCTGGGGCTCAGGGGCAGAATTTCCCCAAATTCCAGCGCTTCCCTTGATGCTCAGGGGCAGAATTTCCCAAAATTCCAGCACTTCCCTTGATGCTCAGGGGCAGAATTTCCCCAAATTCCAGTGCTTCCCTTGATGCTCAGGGGCAGAATTTCCCCGAATTCCAGCGCTTCCCTTGATGCTCAGGGGCAGAATTTCCCCGAATTCCAGCACTTCCCTTGATGCTCAGGGGCAGAATTTCCCCAAATTCCAGCGCTTCCCTTGATGCTCAGGGGCAGCATTCCTCTGGCTTCCAGTGTTTCCCCAACTTCCAGAGCTTCCCTGGGGCCACTGGACCAGAATTGTGCTTCCCTGATTTCCAAAGCTTCCCTGGGAGCTCAGGGAAAGAATTTCCCTGGCTTCCAGTGTTTCCCCAACTTCCAGTGTTTCTCTTGGGGCTCAGGGGTAGAATTCCCTCAAATTCCAGTGTTTCCCTGGCTTCTAGTGCTGCTTTGGGACTCAGGGACAGAATTTTCTCAATTTCCAGTGTTTCCCTGGGGCTCAGGGGCAGAATTTCCCCAAATTCCAGAATTTCCCTGACTTCCAGCGCTTCCCTTGGGGCAGAATTCCCCTAGCTTCCAGTGTTTCCTGAGCTCCCACCATTTCCTGGGAGTTCAGGGACAGAATTTCCTCAAATTCCAGAATTTCCCCAGCTTCCAGCATTTTCCTGGGGCTCAGGGACAGAATTTCCCCCATTTCCAGTGTTTCCCTGGGGTTCAGGGGCAGAATTTCCCCAATTTCCAGAATTTCCCCAGCTTCCAGCATTTTCCTTGGGGCTCAGGGGCAGAATTTCCCCAACTTCCCTCTTCTGCCTTCCAAACCACCCCGTTAATGACACAAATCTGGGCTAACGAGGCTGTTTTTTGGGGAGGAGACCAGGTTTGGTACCCAGACAGACACCACAGCTCATCCTCAGTGCATCCCTTACCCCCAAAACCCCCACGCCCACCCCCCAAATCCACCGAGCGCTCTCTCCCCGAAATCTCTGGGGCATGGGGATGTTTTGGACTCTGTCAGCCTCTCGGTAACCTCAGGAGAGCTCGTTAATGATTGCCTAATTGGCCGCGCTGAAGGCGCAGGGTGGGTAAAGTCTGCCCGTGCTGCGAAAAGCCCGGCTGGCTCCTGCCCCGGGTTAATCATTGCCCTGCCCGGGGTTCGTTCACCTCTTGGGGCTGCCCCAAATCCTTCCCAGACACCCCAAAGCTCACCTGCCGTGCCAAACCGGCCGCCCCGAAAAGTGGGATGGGCTGGCTGGAAGTGGGGATGGAGCTGTTTAATTTCTAGAATTTATCGTCGGCTCGGCAGGGCTTGAGCTCGGGTTTATTCCAAGTTTAAATTCCCAGCAGGAGGAGGAGGATTGTTCCAACAGTGGGAGGCTGTGCTCCAGCACAGATACATCCCAAAGCTCCACAGAAAAAGCTGAAATCTTCCCTAAAGTGGCAGCAGGATGGGGCTGGAGCTGCTCCGGGGGGTCCGAGAGGGATCCAGCCCCAAATCCCCGCAGAGGATTTACCTGGGAAGCTCGGCCCCAGAGCTGGGTGGGCAGGGGGTGGCCGAGGCAGAGCCCGGCGCCCACTGCGGGGTCCCACCCTCCGGGGGATCCCTCTGCCTTTACCTGGGGTCGGATACCTTTGGGCTGAGCTCCGTCTTCACCAGGCCGAGGTATTTGTGCAGCTTCTGCCACAGGATGGGCCGGGGGAGGCTCCCGTTGGCGTGGATGGCGTGGACTCGCGCCATCTCCCGGGCCACCAGCCTGGCGTGGAGCACAGGGAAAGGGTGAGGGGTGATCCCAGATCCTCGACATCTCAGAATCTGCCCCTCCCCAACCCCCCACTTCAAAATCTCCAAAAGAGCTTTGGGGACTTTTTTGGGGAGTTTTTGGGTGATGGATGGATGGATGGATGGGTGGATGGATGGATGGATGGATGGATGGATGGATGGATGGATGGATGATGGATGATGGATGGATGATGGATGGATGGATGGATGGATGGATGGATGATGGATGATGGATGGATGATGGATGGATGGATGGATGGATGGATGATGGATGATNATGATGGATGGATGATGGATGGATGGATGGATGGATGGATGATGGATGATGGATGATGGATGGATGATGGATGGATGGATGGATGATGGATGGATGGATGGATGATGGATGGATGATGGATGGATGGATGGATGGATGGATGATGGATGGATGGGTGGATGGATTTTCAGGGAACACAGCTGAGCCCTCACTCCATGTCAGGGATCAGCCTCTGAAGCAGTTCAGAATGTTCATTTTCAGGGCAAATTCAGGACTAAGGTCTGCTTCCCAAGGAATTCCGGCTTCCCAGGAAACCTTCATTCCAACTTCTCAGGAAATCTTAATTCCAGCTTCCCAGAAACTTTAATTTCAGCTTCCCAGGAAACCTTAATTCCAGATTCCTAGGAAATCCTAATTCCAGTTTCTCAGGAAACTTTAATTCCAGATTCCCATATAATTTTAATTCCAGCTTCCCAGGAAATCTTAATTACAACTTCCCCGGAAAATTTAATTCCAGCTTCCCAGGAAACCTTAATTCCAGATTTACAGAAAATTTTAATTCCAGCTTCCCAGGAAACTTTAATTCCAGCTTTCTGGGAAACCACTCTTCACCAAAACCTGATAAAAATTTGAAATTTGGCAATTTTGACAACTCTTCCTGCACTTTTGCCCATTTATCCCCTGACCCCCATTTATCCCAGGACTGGGTGCACCAACGATCCCCAGCCACAGCAGCCAGGTGAGACCTGAAAACACAGAACAAAGCCCCAGAAAACTGAGGATTTTCCCCGGAAAACCCCCAGATCCACCCTAGGGGTGTGTGGGGCTCAGATTCAGTCAAAGAAAGAAACTGGGAGGTTCTAGCCAGGCAGGAGCCTGGGGAAGAGCTGGAGAGGAATGTAAATAATTCTTTATCTCTCTTGTTGTTCACATTGTTTATAGTTGAGTTCTATCACTGTGCATCAAGCACTGTACACCAATGGGGTGAATTGTTTTCAGGACCAATGGAGTTGGTCCTCATGGTGTATTTTGAATAAACCAGAGTTTTACTTTCAGGTTTTTTTGTGTTGGTCCTCACGAAGCTCTGTATAAAGAGCGGTGTATTTTGAATAAATCAGAGTTTTACTCTCAGTTTTTTTTCTGTTGGTCCAATGGAGTTGGCCCTCACAGAGCTCTGTATAAAGAGCAGTGTATTTTGAATAAATCGGAGTTTTACTCTCAGTTTTTTTTTCCATTGGACCAATGGAGTTGGCCCTCGTGGATCTCTGTATATAGAGTGGTGTATTTTGAATAAATCGGAGTTTTACTCTCACAACCTTCTGAGCCAGCCTCTTCATTCCCATCCTGCCTCGACAGCGACACTCACCTGCAGATGTGGGGATCCCTGACGTGGTGGGGTCCCAGCGCGATTCCCGGCAGGAATTGGTAGCAGAGCCCGTTCTGGAAGGCGCAGTAGAGGTCGGGGGCGCAGCCGTGGGCTCGGAGCACCTGGAAATTCCTCAGCTCCGTCTCCCTGTCCACCAGCAGCTCGGTTTTCCGGCCGTACACCCGCACCAGCAGCGCGTCCCCCATGCCCTCGGCCGTGTAGCAGGCCACCAGCTTGTTGGTGATGCCGTCGGTGAAGAGCTGCGCGGGGACAAACGCGGAGGGAGTGACACACCCGGGCGGAGGCCGGGAGCAGGGGAACCCCCTGCACTTGTCCCACCGCTGGGAAAAAACCTCGTGGATGGGGCAAAAGTGAGGGAAAAAGAGCGAGGCGGCGCAGCCAGGAAGGTTCGTGGGGGAGTGATACGAGTTTGGAAGGATGAGGCTCAGGGATCTGCAGGCAGAGGTGGTGATTTGGGTGGAAATCCTGGGGTTTTTCACCTGGGGCCTCAGGAAGAGCTCAGGAAGAGCTCAGGAACACCTCTGGAGGCAGAGGTGGTGGTTTGGGTGGAAATCCTGACTTTTTTTTCACCTGGAACAGCTCAGGAACAGCCCAGGAACAGCTCAAGAACACCTCTGCAGGCAGAGGTGGTGGTTTGGGTGGAAATCCTGGGGTTTTTTTCACCTGGGGGCTCAGGAACAGCCCAGTAACATTTCTGCAGGCAGAGGTGGTGGTTTGGGTGGAAATCCTATTTTTTTTTTACCTGGAACAGCTCAGGGATAGCTCAGGAACAGCTCAGGCCAGATGTGCCACCAGCACGCTTGGCACGGGAGCAGCCCCGGCAATGTCTCACCGTGGGGGAGGGCAAACCAACAAAACAGCGTAAATTGGCACAAAATTCAAAATAAAAAATAAATAAATAAACCAGCCAACGAGGCTGAAAACAAGGCCAGAGCCAACACCACCCCCCATCCCCTCCTCCGAGCCTCCCCGCGGGCCGGGGCGCTGATAGGCGGGGATGTCACTGCTGGGGACATCGCGGTGTCACCGCTCTGACGGCTCCTCGCAGATGGAAAGGGAGTTTTGTTCTCCGGCTCTCCGCCTTGGCCGCCTGCCCGCGCACATGCCGGGGCTGCTGCCGCCCGCGCCGGGCTCTTCGCCCCATCCCGCCGGGATTTGGGCACCTCCGGGGCACTGAGGGTGTTTGGGGCTCTGAAACCCCACAGAAAATCCCCCCCATTGTCCCCGTGCCAGCCCCGGGGTGATGCAGCTCTCCCTGGGCAGGATTCCCTCATCCCACCGGGATTTGGGCACCTCTGGGGCACTGAGGAGTTTTGGGG